CTCCTAAAGCGGTACAAAGCAGGAAAGTGCGCCAGTGGATCTCCCTGAATACACTAAAATGGGGGGGTCCAGAACCCCCCCCCCTCCCTCCTTCAAGGGGGGGGGGGGGGTCCGGACCCCCCCCCCCTCCCCCCCTTAAGGGGGGGGGGGTCGGACCCCCCCCCTTAAGGGTAGTGAGTAGTGAGTAGTGAGTAGTGGTGCGTAGTGCGTAGTGAGTAGTGTGTAGTGGGTAGTGAGTAGTGAGTACTGAGTAGTGAGTAGTGAGTAGCGAGTAGTGAGTAGTGAATAGTGAGTAGTGAGTAGTGAGTACTGAGTAGTACGTAGTGCGTAGTGAGTAGTGAGTAGTGAGTAGTGAGTAGTGATGAGTAGTGAATAGAAAGTAGTGGGTAGTGGCAGTGGGTAGTGAGTAGTGAGTAGCGAGTAGGGAGTAGCGAATAGTGAGTAGTGAGGAGCGAGTAGGGCGTAGTGAGTAGTGAGTAGAGTGTAGTCAGTAGTGAGTAGTGGGTAGTGATTAGTGAGTAACGAGTAGGGAGTAGCGAGTAATGAGTAGTGAGTAGTGAGTGCTGAGTAGGGAGTAGGGAGTAGGGGGTAGTGAGCAGTGAGTAGTAAGAAGTGGGTAGCGAATAGTGAGTAGTGAGTAGCGATTGGTGAGTAGTCGGTAGTGAGCAGTGACTAGTGACTAGTGACTAATGAGTTGTGACTAGTGACTAGAGACTATGTCGTGACTAGTGAGTAAGGAGTAGTAAGTAGTGAGTAGTGAATAGTGAGTAGCGGGGAGTAAGTAGTGAGTATTGAGTAGCGAGTATGGGAGTAGCGAGTAGCGAGTACTGAGTACTGTGTAGTCAGTATTGTGTAGGGAGTAGGGAGTAGCGAGTAGCGAGTAGTGGGTAGTGAGTAGTGATTTCTGGGCAATGAGTAGTGGGTAGTGAGTAGTGAGTAGTGGATAGTGGGTAGTGGGTAATGAGTTGTGATTATTGAGTAGCCAATCGGGAGTAGTGAGTAGTGCTTAGTGAGTAATGAGTATTGAGTAGTGGGTAGTGACGAGTGAGTAGTGAGTAGGGAGGAGGGATTAGTGAGTAGGGAGTAGTGAGTAGCGGGTAGTGGGTGGTGGGTAGTGAGTTGTGGATAGTGAGTAGTGAGTTGTGAGTAGCGAGTAGCGAGTAGTGAGTAGGGGGTAGTGAGTAGGGGGCTGGGGTTAGTGGTTAGGGGGTAGGGGGCCCCTAGTGACTCACTTTGGGGCTGGGGTTAGTGGTTAGGGTTCGGATTCGGGGTTTGGGTTTCGGGTGAGGACTAGGGGCGGTGGCGGGGGTCGGGTTCCGGCGTCAGGGGGCGGCGTGGCGAAAGGGGGGGGGGGGGGGGGGTTCGGACCCCCCCCCCTTTTGAAAGGGGGGGAGGGGGGGGGGGGGTCCCTGACGACGGGTCGGGGAAATGGGGGGATTGGGGGGGGGTTCCCCGACGACGGATCGGGGAAGGGGGGGGGGGGGGTTTGCCCGACGAGGGATCGGGGAAGGGGGGGAGGGGAGGGGGGGGTCCTAACCCCCCCCCCTTCTTTGGGGAGATCCAGCGGCGCTCCCTCACAAAGCAGCCCGCCGGAGGCGCCGAATTTGGTATTTTGTTTACGAATTTGGCACTGTGCATACTGAGTGGGTCGCGGGGTGGGTCGGGGTGGGTCGCGGGGTGGGTCGCGGGTGGGTCGCGGGGTGGGTCGCGGGGTGGGTCGCGGGGTGGGTCGCGGGTGGGTCGCGGGTGGTTCACGGGGTGGGTCGCGGGTGGGTCGCGGGTGGGTCGTGGGTTGGGTCGCGGGTGGGTCGCGGGGTGGATCGCGGGGTGGGTCGCGGGGTGTGTCGCGGGGTGGGTCGCGGGGTGGGTCGCGGGGTGGTTCGCGGGTGGGACGACGGCGACAGTAAACAACAATACCACCAACAACAACAGCAACAACACCAACAATAACAACACCACCACCAACAACAATCGTATTGCCCTCATGCTCGATGTTTCCACACGAAGCATGCGACCATCATGATAACCATCACCATCATGGCGGATTCTAGATCTATAGCAGGGTCCGTTATTCCCATTCCCAGATCTCCCGCCCAATGATGTCTTGCAAACGCCTCCCATGAGGAATTCCACCATATCCCGCCTCGAAAACGCATGCCCGTGCCTTGCTGCGCCGATGCGAGACCGCCAGTGGAACACACAAGGAAGTATCGAGCGACAGAATTACCTTGGTGGGGTGGGGGTTGTTGGCGGCGAGGAAATGACCTGGCCCTGAATAGAAAGGGAGGAATTCTCGAGCAGGGCCGCTGTTGTTGCTGGGAGCGGCGCCAATGCTGAACAGATTAGGGCGCTAGTCCAGCGTAAAAACGAAGTCTCGAGAGGGAGCGCTGGTTTTGTTGGGACGGCGGTTGTCGGCGGCGACGAGGAACACCGCCTTGAGTAAAAAGGGAGAGGACGTCTCGAGCGGGAGCCGTGGTTTTGTCGGGGCGGGGGCTGTCGGCGGCGAGGAACCGCACAGTCCTGAGGAAAATGGGAGAAAGCCTCGAGCCAGAGCGTTGTTCTTGCTGGGAGCGGTGCCAATTCAAAAGAGAGTATCCAGCGTAAAACGGGAGGAAGTCTCGGGTGGGAGCGCTGGTTTTGTCGGGACGGCAGTTTTCGGCGGCGAGGAGGAGCACCGCCTTGAGTAAAAAAGGGAGGAAGTCTCGAGCGGGAGCGTTGTTGTTGCTGGGGGCGGCGCCGAAGAGAGAAAGAGTAGCGCGCCAGTCCAAGGTAAAACTGGAGGAAGTCTCGAGCGGTAGCGCTGGTTTTGTTGGGACGGCAGCTTTCGGCGGCGAGCAAGAGCACCGGCCCTTAGTAAGTATCCCGGCGAAGGACCCAACCATATACAGTTGTGAGTAACGCGTTGTGCGTGCCGCTTGCGGTGGAGCTTCCTATAGGGCCACGAAACGCGTGAGGGACGTGCCGGACTGGGTGGGGGAGACGCATGCGGGCGGTGCCACTGGGGCATTCGGTGGGGCTCCCTGTGGGCCACGAGACGCTGTACTGGGCGTGGCGGACGCAGGCGGGCGGTGCCTTTCGCTGGAACTCCCGATGAGGCCACTAAGCGCTGTGCTAGTTGGGGGAGACGCACGCGGGCTGTGCCACTGGGGTCTTTCTGTGGAGCTCCCTACGGGGCCACAATACGCTGTATTGGGCGTGGCGGACGCAGGCGGGCGGTGCCCTTCGCTGGAATTCCCGATGAGGCCACGAAGCGCTGTACTTGTTGGGGGAGACGCAGGCGGGCTGTGCCACTGGGGTCTTTCTGTGGAGCTCCCTACGGGGCCACGAAACGCTGTCCTTGGTAGTGGCCGACGCATGCGTGCCAGTGGGGGCTTCGGTGGGGCCCCTTATGGGAGGGGGGACGCATGCGGGCGGTGCCACTGGAGCTCCCTAATTACGGGGCCACGAAACGCTTTACAGGGTGGGGGGGCGCATGCGGGCGGTGCCACTGGGGCTTGCTGGAGCTCCCAATCAATGGGGCCACGAAATCCGTAGCCATTTTGGCTCAAGCAACATCTTTCCATTCGGCGCGCTTGCTCAGGCGAGCTCCGCGGAAGGTTTACACCGGTACCGCGGACAGATTACACCTGGTGGCACAATGAAAGTGGCCTCCGCGGCATTCACTTGCATAGCGATGGCTCAGCTCGGTGCGGCATCGACTTGTGGTGCGAAGGGTGCCGACACCACTCCCTGGACATCGCGCAGCCAGCGCATCGTGGGGGGGCAGCAAGCCACAAGTGGAGAGTGGCCGTGGCAGGTCTCCCTCCAGACCTCCAGTGGGCACTTCTGCGGAGGAACGCTCATCGCCCCGAACTGGGTCTTGACGGCTGCCCATTGCTTTCCTCGTTCCTCGTTCTGGGTCGTGGCGGGCCTTCACCAACTGTCCCAGTCGGATTCGGTGGGGGTGCGACTGGAGGTGCAGCAGATGCACACTCATCCAAACTACATCTACTGGGATCAGGGCTACGATTTTGTTCTCCTGGAGTTGGCCGAGGCGGCGCCCTTGAGCGACAATATCGGCCTTGCCTGCCTGCCGTCGGAGGACATCGGTGCTGGTGAAGAGTGTTGGGCCACTGGGTGGGGGAAGGTCGCCGGAGGCAGCATCCCTGACGTGCTGCAGGAGGGCGCTGTCACCACCTGGACCAATGCAGACTGCCAGTCTTACTGGGGCCTCTCAGGGATGACGATCACCGATGACATGCTGTGCGCGCAGGGCTCAAACGCTGGGGAGGTAACCGATATCTGTCAGGGAGACAGTGGAGGGCCGATTGTCTGCGAATCAGGCGGCAGCTACTTCCTTCACGGCGTCGTGTCGTGGGGAGCTGCTTCTTGTGGCGTGGAAAATTTCCCTGGAGTTTGGAGTCGGATCACTTATGGACGCGAGTGGATGGACGGGGTGATGGGGGACTGGACGGTGCCCCCGACGCCATCGCCCGCACCGACGGCTGCGCCGACAGCTGCGCCGACCGTTTCCCCAACAGCAGCACCGACTGCTGTGCCGACGGCAGCGCCAACGATGGCGCCAACCGCATCCCCTACAGATGCACCGACAGCCGCGCCGAGTGCAGCACCTACAGCTGCACCGACCGCTTCCCCAACGGCTGCACCGACAGCTGCGCCGAGCGCAGCACCGACAGCTGCACCGACCGCTTCCCCAACGGCCGCTCCGACAGCTGTGCCGAGTGCAGCACCGACGGAGGCACCGACCGCGTCCCCAACGGCAGCACCGACAGCCGTGCCGACAGCAACGCCGACCGCTTCCCCAACAGCAGCACCGACTGCTGTGCCGACGGAGGCGCCGACTGTTGAGCCGGGTGTGCCGACTGCAGTACCCACGGAAGCACCGACCGCTTCCCCAACAGTTGCACCGACAGCCGCGCCGACTGCAGCACCGACGGCGGCGCCGACCGCTTCCCCATCAGTTGCACCGACAGCCGTGCCGACAGCAGCACCGACGGAAGCACCGACCTTTTCCCCATCAGCTGCACCGACAGCCGGGCCGACAGCAGCACCGACCGCTTCCCCGACAGCATCACCGACGACTGCACCGACGGAGGCACCGACCGCTTCCCCAACGGCTGCACCAACAGCTGCGCCGACTCTTGCGCCGACTTCTTCGCCGACCGCTGCGCCGACGCCCAGTTCTGTGCACATGTGGGCGGCCATTTCGGGCCCGTGCACGTTGGACGGCGCCTGTGTGCAGAGCGCGAACTATCCACAGGCTTATAATAACAACGAGGCGTGCACGATTGAGATCGACGCGGAGAACGCAGCACCGATCGTCGTGGAGGCTTTCAATGTAGAATGGTACTTCGACTACATCGTTATCGACGGATGGAAATATTACAGCGGAAGTTCGGGTCCGTCTGGATTCACACCGTCATCCAGTATCGTGTGGTCGTCCGATTTCAGCGTTACGAGGAGTGGATGGAAATTTTGCGTACCAGTGTCAACACCTGCACCCCCTCCGACAACAGCACCAACGCCTGCACCGACCTCTGCGCCGACTCCCGCACCGACAGCTGCGCCGACTCTTGCGCCCACTCCTTCGCCAACCGCTGCGCCGACGCCCGGTTCTGCGAGCATGTGGGGGGCCATCTCAGGACCGTGCACGTTGGACGGCGCCTGTGTGCAGAGCCCGAACTATCCTCAGTACTACAGCAACAGCCAGGCTTGCACGATCGAGATCAACGCGGCGAACGCAGCACCGATAGTTGTGGAGTATTTCAATGTGGAGTCGTACTTCGACTACCTCCTCATCGACGGCTGGAAGACCTTTAGCGGCAGGCGCCGCCGTCCGTCTGGGTTCACACCGTCATCCAGTATCTTCTGGTCATCCGACTTCTCCGTGACGAGGCGCGGTTGGAGGTTGTGCGAGCCAGATCGCCGCCTTCTGGAGGAGGCCCCAGCGCCCGACGAGCCAGCCTTCCTGATTTAGCAAGTCCGTCAGCACAGGACGCTCTGGTGTTTGCCGTTTTCCGCGCCGGCTTAGTGGACGAACCAGCCGCACACGGCTTCGATAGCTCTGTCAAAAGACTTCATCAGCTTTAACTTCGATTAACCTCGATAGTTAGTCTTGACGTCGATAGCTTCGATAGGCGATGTTCTTTACACCGACCTCCCAGAGAGCAGATGGCTCCTTCTCTGCCGTGTCGGCACGGCGAGGAGTCCATGGGAGCGTCGCAGCGTCGTTCGAGGATGCGTAGACGCGAGACTACCTCATCCTCTGCCAGCCGACGATGGTGCATTTTCGATCTGCTCGCGACAGTGCTGTTTTTGTTTTCCGCGCTCGTGGGCGCCAGTCAAGTTCACTGAGCCTCGGGGCTATTCCCCCCTCCTTCCTGTGCCCCTCTCCTTCCCTTCGCCATGGTCAGGGGCTGCGGTGCCTGATCCGGGGTGTGCTCGCGTTGTTGGGTGTGCAGCTCGGCCCCTCGGGCATGGCCAGAACGTGCCTTCTCTTCCCCATCCTGACGCCTGCGGCGGCTGGGGCGCGGCTCGGGAGCAGTAATTCTGGTTTGTCAGTTGCTCGCGACTCGCGCTGCAGTGCCAATGCAGGAGAACATCTGGCCCGCAGGCTTTTTTCTGTTTGGTGGCCACCCGCCGGTGGACACCGCAGCGAGTGCGCTCCCACCGCATGCTGGGCGGGGATGGAGCCGCACTGGCGTCCTGCCTCTTGCGTGTTGCAAGGATGGCGTGTCGAGCGGAGCCGTCTTGGAAAAGCATGAGAGATAGAGGGTCCCGCGACAGCCCAGGGGGCCCGCGAGGGCCTCAAGACGGTCCACGGTGGTCCCGAGACGGCTCAAGGGCGCCCGAGGACGTCCAAGATCGCCCCAAGGTGGCCCAAGAGGTTTCCGAGACGGCCCAAGAGGGTCCCAAGAGGTCTTCAAGAGGGCCCCGACAGGCCCCAGGGGGCGTGGAGGGGGGGCATGGAGGAGAGAGTGGAGAGGGGCGTGGAGGGGGGGGGAGGGTCTGGTGGAGGGGGGGGGGGCCAGACTCCAGGGGAGAGGGTAGGGAGAAGGGTTTGATTCAGAAGATGGGAGAGGAGATGCCCTAGACCACCTCCGCCCAGAGGGCTGGTGGGGTTATCTGCTGCCCATCACTTGCACGCGAAGATTACACCACAGAGACTGCACGACATAATTCGAGCCACATATATTCTGCCACAAGTACTGCAGAGGCCAGCCTACAGTATGTAGCTGGCACTACATAGTTTGCAGATTGCGCCACCTAAAACGAATAATTCACCACGCAAATATGATACACCACGCTGGATCACGCTGTTTACCTTCTCTCCTGCGAGGAGTCGGAACTATCCCCTGCCTGGAGGCCGCGGCTAGCGCCCCCCTCCGCATATAATGTGTCCGTGTTGTTCGTGCCGATGTCAATATTGCAGAGTAGTTCACGCCAGTCAGCTCGCGGACACCTCCCTCCTCCCGGTAAAATAACGAGATTCGGAGCACTCGCTTTGATTACATAGGTTTGCGCCACATACGCCGACCCCTATATAAACTACTGCGCCTCCTGGACTGCATTTCACGAGGCTTGTCGGAATCATGACACGGCGCTCGACATCGTTTTTGTTGCCTCGTTGCTGTTATCGTACCTCTTGGTGCTCTTCTGTGCCCTTCTGGTGGCACCTTGGCCTGTCTGCAGGCCGCATCCGGCCGCCTCGAGGTTTGGGCCATCTTGGTTGTTTTGGTTGCCTGCCTGGGCTGTCCTGGAAGCTCGGGACGCGGACGCACAAACTTCCAACGAGGGACCGTGGCCTCGGGAGTGCGGCTCCCGTGTTAACAAAATGCGAGGGCTCGTGGCCTCGGGGACAGGGGGCATGGCATGGGCTAGTCTGGTAGCAGAGGTGGGGGGGATCCGAATTAGAACACGCTACAGAGCAGCACTTGGCATTCTCACACGCCCACGTCGTGCAGGCACGATGGCGGATTTTTCGTAGGGCCTGGTTAGGATGTTGAGTCGTTGTTTGACGGTCCCGGGGCTTGTCGAGGGCCCAAAGGGCCGAACATCGTCGCACACGTCCCCTTAGCTCCTGAGGGCGCACCCCTGAGATTTTCATCGCGTCTGGGCTTCCTTGGGGGCTCTCGGGGGCCTCTTGGGGGCTTCCTGGGGGCTTCTTGGAGTCCTTTGAGGTTCTCTTGGGGGTCCCTCAAGGCCTCTTGGGGTGTTCTTGGGTCAGGCTGGGGACGTCTTGGGGCCGAAGGCTCGAAAAGGTGCCCCCTGGACTCCCTCTTGGAGCCGTCTGGGGGCCCTCTTGGGCTGTCTTGGGGGCTTCGTGGGCTGTTTTGGACCCTCTTCGACCCCTCTTGGGGACCCCTTCGGCCGTCCGGGGGCGATATCAAAGGTTTCTGTGCCCGTCTTGGACGTTGTGAAGGCCGAAAAGGCGAGTATGCGAAAAATGCGGTTTTTTCAAATGGAATGGGACGGTTTTTGTTTCTTGGGACCCTCTTCGGATGCATCTTGGGGGCCTTTGGGAGCGTCTTGGCAGCTTCGGAGGCCGTCTGGAGGCCATCGTGGGCGTCAAGGAGAGATATTTCGGCGACTCGTTGCCCTCTGGGACCGTCTGGGGAGCGTTTTGGTGCCTTCTCGGTCCGTTTTGGAGCCCTCCGCTTCCCCATGACGCGTTCGGTCCGGGGTCATCCCTGGCCAGGGGGGGGGGTCGAATTGCCGGTGTGGGTGTCCCTGGGGGGGGGGGATTAGGGGGGGGGAGAATCTCACACGCCTAGAGACCCACGAGGGGTCGGCGGATTTCGCAAGTGCAGTGTCAGCTAACCCATATCGAGTGGCACCATGTGGGCCACGCGCACGCACATGTCAACGTCTTGCCAGAAGCAATGGTGCACACATACTTTTACAACCAACAACCATCCGCCACCTTTCATTTTCAAAACCAACGCGCGCGCACTAGCTGAAATGATAAGACATCATCGCGTTTGCTTTGCCACTCTGTCAAGTGAGACGATGCGGGCAACGCGCGTGCGCATGTCGAAACCATTCAACAGTCATCGCGCACCCCCGCCGACTCTGTTAGATAGCACCATGCGGGCCACGCGCATGCATCCCCGCGAACGCATGCCAAAATCATTTCACAGTCATCGCGCACCGGCCAACTCTATCAAATGATGCAATGTGGACCACACGCGCGCGTCCCCACGGGCGCATGTCGAAGTCATTTCAAGACCACTCTGGTATTCAAGCATGTCTCATATACCGAAGCCTGGCCTGGGGGGGCCCGGGGCTGCAGCACACCAGGGGCACCCAGAGTAAGCCCGCTTTTGGGGCCTCCCCGGAGCATGAAGAAGCTTCAAGAGGGTCCACCTGAAAGATTTGCAACCACTGGCTCAAGCAACATCTTTCCATTCGGCGCGCTTGCTCAGGCGAGCTCCGCGGAAGGTTTACACCGGTACCGCGGACAGATTACACCTGGTGGCACAATGAAAGTGGCCTCCGCGGCATTCACTTGCATAGCGATGGCTCAGCTCGGTGCGGCATCGACTTGTGGTGCGAAGGGTGCCGACACCACTCCCTGGACATCGCGCAGCCAGCGCATCGTGGGGGGGCAGCAAGCCACAAGTGGAGAATGGCCGTGGCAGGTCTCCCTCCAGACCTCTAGTGGGCACTTCTGCGGAGGAACGCTCATCGCCCCGAACTGGGTCTTGACGGCTGCCCATTGCTTTCCTCGTTCCTCGTTCTGGGTCGTGGCGGGCCTTCACCAACTGTCCCAGTCGGATTCGGTGGGGGTGCGACTGGAGGTGCAGCAGATGCACACTCATCCAAACTACATCTACTGGGATCAGGGCTACGATTTTGTTCTCCTGGAGTTGGCCGAGGCGGCGCCCTTGAGCGACAATATCGGCCTTGCCTGCCTGCCGTCGGAGGACATCGGTGCTGGTGAAGAGTGTTGGGCCACTGGGTGGGGGAAGGTCGCCGGAGGCAGCATCCCTGACGTGCTGCAGGAGGGCGCTGTCACCACCTGGACCAATGCAGACTGCCAGTCTTACTGGGGCCTCTCAGGGATGACGATCACCGATGACATGCTGTGCGCGCAGGGCTCAAACGCTGGGGAGGTAACCGATATCTGTCAGGGAGACAGTGGAGGGCCGATTGTCTGCGAATCAGGCGGCAGCTACTTCCTTCACGGCGTCGTGTCGTGGGGAGCTGCTTCTTGTGGCGTGGAAAATTTCCCTGGAGTTTGGAGTCGGATCACTTATGGACGCGAGTGGATGGACGGGGTGATGGGGGACTGGACGGTGCCCCCGACGCCATCGCCCGCACCCACGGCTGCGCCGACAGCTGCGCCGACCGTTTCCCCAACAGCAGCACCGACTGCTGTGCCGACGGCAGCGCCAACGATGGCGCCAACCGCATCCCCTACAGATACACCGACAGCCGTGCCGAGTGCAGCACCGACAGCTGCACCGACCGCTTCCCCAACGGCTGCACCGACAGCCGCGCCCAGTGCAGCACCGACAGCTGCACCGACCGCTTCCCCAACGGCTGCACCGACAGCCGCGCCGAGTGCAGCACCCACAACTGCGCCGACTGCTTCCCCAACGGCTGCTCCGACAGCCGTGCCGAGTGCAGCACCGACGGAGGCACCGACCGCGTCCCCAACGGCAGCACCGACAGCCGTGCCGACAGCAACGCCGACAGCTTCCCCAACAGCAGCACCGACTGCTGTGCCGACGGAGGCGCCGACTGTTGAGCCGGGTGTGCCGACTGCAGTACCCACGGAGGCACCGACCGCTTCCCCAACAGTTGAACCGACAGCCGCGCCGACTGCAGCACCGACGGCGGCGCCGACCGCTTCCCCATCAGCTGCACCGACAGCCGTGCCGACAGCAGCACCGACGGAGGCACCGACCTTTTCCCCATCAGCTGCACCGACAGCCGGGCCGACCGCAGCACCGACCGCTTCCCCGACAGCAGCACCGACGACTGCACCGACGGAGGCACCGACCGCTTCCCCAACGGCTGCACCAACAGCTGCGCCGACTCTTGCGCCGACTTCTTCGCCGACCGCTGCGCCGACGCCTGGTTCTGTGCACATGTGGGCGGCCATTTCGGGCCCGTGCACATTGGACGGCGCCTGTGTGCAGAGCGCGAACTATCCGCAGGCTTATAATAACAACGAGGCGTGCACGATTGAGATCGACGCGGAGAACGCAGCACCGATCGTCGTGGAGGCTTTCAATGTAGAATGGTACTTCGACTACATCGTTATCGACGGATGGAAATATTATAGTGGAAGTTCGGGTCCGTCTGGATTCACACCGTCATCCAGTATCGTGTGGTCGTCCGACTTCAGCGTTACGAGGAGTGGATGGAAATTTTGCGTACCAGTGTCAACACCTGCACCCCCTCCGACAACAGCACCAACGCCTGCACCGACCTCTGCGCCGACTCCCGCACCGACAGCTGCGCCGACTCTTGCGCCCACTCCTTCGCCAACCGCTGCGCCGACGCCCGGTTCTGGGAGCATGTGGGGGGCCATCTCAGGACCGTGCACGTTGGACGGTGCCTGTGTGCAGAGCCCGAACTATCCTCAGTACTACAGCAACAGCCAGGCTTGCACGATCGAGATCAACGCGGCGAACGCAGCACCGATAGTCGTGGAGTACTTCAATGTGGAGTCGTACTTCGACTATCTCCTCGTCGACGGCTGGAAGACCTTTAGCGGCAGGCGCCGCCGTCCGTCTGGGTTCACACCGTCATCCAGTATCTTTTGGTCATCCGATTTCTCCGTGACGAGGCGCGGTTGGAGGTTGTGCGAGCCAGATCGCCGCCTTCTGGAGGAGGCCCCAGCGCCCGACGAGCCAGCCTTCCTGATTTAAGCAAGTTCGTCAGCACAGGACACCCTTGTTTTTGCCGTTTTCCGCGCCGGCTTAGTGGACGAACCAGCCGCACACGGCTTCGATAGCTTTGTCAAGAGACTTCATCAGCTTTAACTTCGATGAACTTCGATAGTTAGTCCTGACGTCGTAGCTTCGATAGGCGATGTTCTTTACACCGACCTCCCAGAGAGCGGATGGCTCCTTCTCTGCCGTGTCGGCACGGCGAGGAGTCTACGGGAGCGTCGCAGCGTCGTTCGAGGATGCGTAGCCGCGAGACTACCTCATCCTCTGCCAGCCGACGATGGTGCATTTTCGATCTGCTCGCGACAGTGCTGTTTTTGTTTTCCGCGCTCGTGGGCGCCAGTCAAGTTCACTGAGCCTCGGGGCGATTCCCCCCTCCTTCCTGTGCCCCCCTCCTTCCCTTCCCCATGGTCAGGGGCTGCGGTGCCTGATCCGGGGTGTGCTCGCGTTGTTGAGTGTGTAGCTCGGCCCCTCGGGCGTGGCCGGAACGTTCCTTCTCTTCCCCATCCTGACGCCTGCGGCGGCCGGGGCGCGGCTCGGGAGCAGTAATTCTGGTTTGTCAGTTGCTCGCGACTCGCGCTGCAGTACCAATGCAGGAGAACATCTGGCCCGCAGGCTTTTTTCTGTTCGGTGGCCACCCGCCGGTGGACACCGCAGCGAGTGCGCTCCTACCGCATGCTGGGCGGGGATGGAGCCGCACTGGCGTCCTGCCTGTTGCGTGTTGCAAGGACGGGCGTGTCGAGCGGAGCCGTCTTGGAAAACAAAACAAATCAAGGGGGCCACGAAATGGAGTACTGGGTGGTGGACGACGCACGCGGGCGGTGCAAATGAGGTCTTTCTGTGGAGCTCCTTCTGGGCCACGAAACGATGTACTGGATGGTGGCTGATGCATTCGGGCTCGGGCGGTCCCATTGGGACCATCGGCGGAGTTCCCTATGGGGCCACGAAACGCTGTACTGGGTGGTGGCTGACGCATGCGGGCGGTCCCACCGGGACCATCCGTGGAGTTCCCTATGGGGCCACGAAACGCTGTACTAGGTGATAGGTGAAGCGCAGGGAGCAAGGGCTGTGCTGGGTGGTGGCTGACGCATGCGGGCGGTGCCACTGGGACCTTCGGTGGAGCCCCCTATGGGGCCACGAAGCGCTGTACTGGGTGGGTGAAAGGCAGGGATCAAGGGCTGTGCTGGTTGGTGGCTGACGCGCGCGGGCGGTGCCAGTGGGACCTTCGGTGGAGCCCCCTATGGGGCCACGAAGCGCTGTACTGGGTGGGTGAAACACAGGGAGGAGGGAGGAAGGGGAGGAGGGAGGGGGAGGAGGAGGAGAGGAAGAGGAGGAGGAGGAGGAGGAGGAGGAGGAGGAGGAGGAGGAGGAGGAGGAGGAGGAGGGTCGCGGGGACTGTCTCTTGAAAACGAGGACCCAAGACCACAGGATGGTTGGGAAAGAAAGAGGAAGTCTCGAGCAGGAGCGTTGTTATTGTTGGGGGGCCGGTTTTGGCGCCCCCTCAACCCGCTCGAGCGTGAGCCTCATTTTCAATGAAAATGTAGCCGGTGCCGAGGCGAGATCGTCAAAGCGCCTGGTGGGGGTCCAACACAAATAATTGTTAAGTAGTTCAGATTCAGCAACAACAGCAATACCAACAACAACACCAACAACAACAACGCAACAAGCAAATCCTCACCACGGATCCCCACTTCAGCCATTGCCCCAGGGACAATCAATGACCGTTCGGCCCCCTCATTCTGATTATAATAAGACGAAGGAGGAGGCCGAGGAGTCGAGGAGTATGGGCATGGGTATCGGCCGAAAAGGTGTCTCGGCGGTTTGAAGGGAAAAATGAAGGATGAACCCAGGAAGTTTGCCAGCGCGTTCCGGCAACACCCTTCCGGCACACGCTGGAATCGGACGTCTGCGCTAGACGTTCTCGAACGTCGTGGCCGACGTCGCGGTCGTTCGTCGCAGTCATCGTCGTCGAGATTGTCGCAGTTGTTGTCGTCGACGTCGTCGAGGCCATCGTCGTCATCGTCTTTGTCGTCGTCGAAATCGCATTTGCATTCGGGGACGTCTGCGCTAGAACCTGAGCGCGCGCGAAGCCCGCGCGCGTGGTTCTAGTGTACACATACACATATTATTAGTATTATTCTTCCTATTATCATTTTATGATTAATATTATTATTTTTGTCATCATCATCATCATTATTATTATTGTTATTATTATTATTATTATTACTATTATCATTATTATTATTATTATTATTATTATTATTATTATTATTATTATTAGTATAGCCATTATTATCATTATTATCATTATATATATGCATCCATGCGCTGTGTCTGTCAAGCGCCCAAAGCGAAACGGTTAGGTTATCGACTGGCACCCACCCTTCCCTCTTCCGGCTATAACCCTGGTGGATTCCCAGTGCCCCCCCATCGCCGAGGAATGGCTTCATCTATGGCCTGTCCGCGAAGGAGCCGCGGGCAGTGCATGGAATCTGCTGGAATTGTGCTGGTGCGGGAAGCGGAGACGCCGATGTAGGCGAGGAGGAGGTGGGGGAGGGTGTGGCAGCCCAGGACAAGGATGAGGAGGAGGATGCAGAAGAGACACCCTTCGCCAGATCTTCTCCCGCGCCGAACGGAGCGAAGCTTCGCACGAGTGGGCGCATTGCAGCTCGGGCCCCATTCTTTCGAGATGCATGCACCGCCGACCACAATACGGCGAGGCCTCGTCTATTGATGTCCTCCGCTGCTAAACTGGGGAGAGCCTTCAACACCACGGATTGAGTACTGAGGATAGGGCGGAATGAGAAAGAGGTGGATCAGGAGCAGGAAGAGAATGATAACAGAGGTAAGATGGTGGAGCAGGAGGAGGAAAAACAGGGAGGGGGAGGAGCAGGGGGAGGAGGAGGAGGAGGACGATGATATGAATGAGGGTGTGACGGCTCAGGATGTGAAACATGATGGTATGAGGCCTCGGCACGTGGTTCGGCTTGTGATTCAACTCGAAAAAGCGACGCCTTGAGTTCATCGACCTCTATGTGTCCGAGGAGCACCGGTACGCCGCCTACAACTTGTGGTGTTTCGCTGGCGATCTCGGCGGCTACGCAGGCTGTATCCTGCCTCGCTTGTCCAGGACAGGAACAGCCGACTCCTATGCATTCCCTTGTCTCCGTTCTCCCTTTACCTCTGTCTCCAGTATCAGCGCATTGCTCCTGATTTTTCGTGTCAAGGGGCTGCTCTTTCTCTTTCTATCTTTTTGGTTTGTTCTCTCTCTCTCTCTCTTTCTTTATTCCCTTTTTGTTCTCTCACTACGTACATTGATATATGGTAAGGATCGGGGGAGCGTAAGACCCGGGTTTGCCAGGACTCGGGTTCGCCATCGTTTTTTGACGACCGCGCCTCGGATTTTGACGAGGAGGAGTTTCGTGGGATGTCTGCAGCGGGAGGCCTCGTCAAAATGCAGGCTCGGCCTCGTCATTTTTTTGACGACCTCGTCGGGGATTTCCGAGTCCCCTGTACCCAGGTCTTACGTCCCCCTGAAAGGAGTAGAAGTTTGTGGAGACCCATCCTTGTCTGTACACCCATGGCCATGGGCCCCTTTCAGTCTAGCAACGGCCTGGGTATAACAAACGGTATGATTAACCTGGTGTGACCATAGGTACGATGCACTTGCCTTGATTATCTCGGCCATCTACAGAGTACGATGCACTTGCCTTGATTGTCTCGGCCATCTACAGACATGCTTAAAGTACAATTGAAGCTGAACGCAGAGGGGGCCAGAGGTCATACGTTATAGTGTTTCTTTGCTTTGCGTTGCCTCGCATTGCTTCGCTTTCCAGTGCAGTGACATGCAGTGCACTGCGGTTCAGTGAATTGCTTTTCATTGATTGCTTTCCGGTGCCTTGCTTTTCACGTGACAGGACTTGCACCAGATTGGGGGGCAGCGGAGGATAATTGATATGGAAGGAGGAGGTTGGAGGAGACGAAGGGGGAGGAGGGAGGTGTGGGGGGGAGGGAAAGAATGGATGGGACGAGAGAGGAGATGAATGAGAGGGAGTTGGAGGAGGTGGATGGGATGGAGATGGAGGGGGGAGATGCGTAAGTTGGGGGCAGGAACAGAAGATGCGGGCTGTGGCGGTGAATTATCCTCCTTGTGGGAGGGCCAGGCCTGGCGGAGTGCTGGTGCTCACGCACCACCGGGACGGGTCGGAAGCGCGCCTCCCCCAGGCCAGAGCAGCTTCTCCGTGACGCTCGCGCACGAGGCCGCTGGTGTGCGTCGCCGCCGCGTCCCTGGGTCAGATGGCGCGTCGAAGGAGTCGAGCCGTAGGTATTTCGCCACTCTCGTGCGTCCGCCGCGGGACCGTATGCTCTGGCCGCTGGGGCTGGTGAGGCTTCGGGTTGCTCACAGAGCGCCGCCCCCCCCCCCAGGCAGTCCAGGCTGGCCTCGACAGGCCTCCCGAGTAGTCTCAACTGGCCTCAACAGATCCTCCGAGTAGTTGAGAGCGGTCAGAACACCCTGGCGCAGAGGCTGAGACCGCTCTGGGCTACTCGCGGGGCCTGTCGAGGCCAGCTGGCACAACCAGGGGGGCCTCCTTGAGAGGCCAGCGGGGACCACCCGGGAGGGCTGTCCGTGCACGACCCGAGGCCCTGCCGGCTGGGGCCCTCGGGAGCGGCTCGGGGGTGACAGGGCTCTGTCTTGGGCGGGTGTCCGAGAGGCCCGAGGGCCGGCGGGTCGGCGAGGTTGGGTCGTCGGGGGTCTGGGCCCTTTCCTGGGCGGCGCGCCAGCGGGGTGGGCGCGGGAGGGGCGGCTCTGGGAGGAGGCTGGGGGGGGGGCCTGCTGAGGGGGCGCGTGGCCTCTTTCGGCCCTCCCCGCTTCCAGGAAGACTTCTCAGAAGCATCCGGCCTTCTCGAAGCATCCAGGAGCTTCTATGAGGGCCTCCGCCCTCTAAGAAGCTCCCCCCCCGCCTTCTCGGAAGGGCGCCCCCGCACGCGCCACGCCTCTGGTGCGCGCCGCCGAGCTTCTTCCTTCCCTTCTCTCTCGCCCCTCGCAGGAGGCCCAGTCTCGCGAACCCCGCGCATCCTGCGGTGCGCAGTATGCGGGGAGCGTCCCGCGCCCCCTCTTGGCGTCGGAATGTCCTCTCGGGGATGCCCCGGTCAGGCACTCGTGCACGCGGAAACCGTTGCAACCCGTGCTCAAGCGTGTCTATCTCTGTGCAGCCGAGCGGGTAGACCACGTCGTCATGACGTGCGTCGCAGCCCACCGCACAGCAACAACCCACGAACCAGCACCTGCCCCCCCTGCCCCCCCTAGGACGATCCAGCTCTCCTGAACAGGATTTCGGACAGAACGCGGCTTCCGCCAACCCAGACCATTGCCACCCAGGCCACCACGGTAAGGTTCAATGAGTTTGCGCAGGACGAGCTCGGGGACTGCGTCCTTCGTTCTTGCCCCAGGGCTGGCTCACGTCGACTACCTTCTTGAGTACGCCAGGGGGAATGGGGGCAGGCGCGTGGTCCCGAAGTACCCAGGCCAGCGGCTGCTGCAGTACTTTCTCACCGACATCTACGGGCAGCTGTCCCCGTCCTCCGCCATCCCCGAAGGACACCATTTCGACGCCCACCATCGCCCTCTGGCCAACCTCGCGTTTCGGACGCGGAGCGCCGCGCCAGGCTACAAAGACATGTGAGTCAACCTACTCCATGTGGCCTGGACCTCAGCCAGCGCAGCTCGCCCTTCATTGCCACCTGCCCCAACCAGGCTCTGGACCGTTCTGGACCGTTCAGCTCCCCTTCGTGAAACACGCGCTGGGGGAAGAAATTGTGCCCTTCGCGGGGGTCGAGACAACGATTGTCGAGGAAGGATACCCATAGTCTGCTGGGCTCCCAGACGCTGGACCAGCGATGCTACATCCGGAGCTGGAATTGTACACCGGGTATGAATGGACCCACACGAAGCATGATGGCAGCGCGCTCAGGGTCACCGTTGACAGGCACAGGCCTGGCGGACCAAGTTTTACCACACTTCGTCGCGTGGGCTACCCGCTGGCACCCCGGCCGCCAGGACAACCATGGATTCACGGAGTGGGGCAACGAAGAACTCTTCGGTCTCCTGCAGATCCACTGGGGCAGTTCGCTCCCCAAGGACGGGGTGCCACCCGACTGGGGTCCTCCACATTTGGCGCTCGCCCACAAGCTCACTCGAATAGGAGGGGTTCGCTGCCGTATTGCTCACAGCGGGCCCGCGTGCCTGTTCCTGTCGTCAGAGCAAACGGACCATCGCTCTACTATCTCTCATGTCACCATTGCCGCCATGCTTCTTACCTTTCGCTGGGGGCGGCCCCAGCTCGGGATCCACGGGACTGCTTATAGGGCGATGTGGGCGGACATTCGCTTTCCCCCAAACCTTTTCAATGACGTCACCCTCCGTTCCCCGAACAGCCTGCGCTTACGGCTGTTCTGCAAACCGTCTGGTACTTCGCGTTGGACGCTCATAGGCAACGATGACGACAGGCGCCGTATGCCGTAGGAGACGTGTGAGAGTCCAGCTGCGCAAGGCAACAACAGCTGCTGGCGTTACCGCGGTGCGGAGCGACCTCCGACCTATCGCATTCCGCAGGCACCTACCGCAGCTTCGCGTCGGGCATGTTTGTGAGGATCCTCCATGGGCTAGTGCCGTGCCTCGTGATGTGTGCGGCAGTGCTGGCTGTCCTTGCGAGCGCGTCGCATCACTCGAGTGGGGCACTGGCCGTTAATATACGTATCTCACCGCGCTTGGCACCGGTCGAGGGCGACAGCGCTACTTCGGCTGCCGCCTGCTTCAACGTGGCGTTCGTCCCAGCGCAGGCCCGGGCCCAAAGGCGCTTCCGCCGCGCGCATCGTGGTGGAGTCTTATCGAGGAGGGCCCCCATGTTGGCGCTCGGGGGCAGCGAGCCACCCTTCGCACAACTGGTGTCGCCGATGCATGTTCTTGCCCCAACTGTGTGCCGCAGCCAGGCAAGCGCGCATCCAGCGAGGGCTGCGTGCGCTGCGTCCAGAGTCAGCCTGTGCGTCGGCTACGCCACGACCATTGCTCATTTGGGTGCTTCATTTTATCAGTCTCTTCGACCAGTTCAGTAATTCCGAGCTGCAGGGCTCCGTCTTTTTTGGTTCGTCGTCGACGTGGACTTCGACGGGGTCCTCGTTGCCACCAGCGCTGGCGCTCTCCAGGATGAGGCGTCCAGGCATGTCGCTGGCGCCGACTGATGTCGTGCCGCGCGCAGCCCGGAGGCCCTGTCGCACGCCCTTCCCTTTGAAGTGGCCCAGGCGACGCGCTGCGCCGCGTGGGGCCCTGGCCGCGACCGCCTGTCAGCCTCGCCGCCGGCGCGCCGCCCGTTCGCATACTCAGCAGGGTAGCAATGTCGAGTGCGATTAACGGGCGATCGGGGCAGAGCTGTGCCATTCACTCGGTGGCGGGACCTGGCGCCCCGCGCTCCAGCGCGCGCGGGGCGCCCTGGACATCGGGCGCGCGATGCGCGGGGTGTGCGGCTCCGGGCGCGCTGTCGCGTTTCTTGCGCCATCGGCCCCAAGATCATGCTCGCGCCGTGTGCTGTGCAATTCGGTTCAGGCGCGCGGCTGCGCGGCTGTCTGTGCGCCCTCTGCCGCTGCAGCTTTGGACAGAGAGTCGTGTGCGGTTGCCCCTTCAGTGGCCGCTGTCCTACTGTTCAGGATTCGCCGGTGGGGGGCGCGCCTGCGCGTTGCCGGCGCGCGGCGGTGCAGGCCTGGCGGTGCGCGCTGCCCGCGCGCGCCCGTGTGCTGCTCTGCGCGCCCGGGGCATTATTTCCCATGCCCGGCGATGCAGCGGCGCGAGCGCGGTGCGTTATGTCTTGGTGCTCTTACGCGCCGTGACGCGTGAGCCGGGCCGTGTTCCTTGCCTGGCGGCGCCAGCGCCCGCGGCGCGCCGCGCCCGCGCGCGCCTTCGCGCCTTGCAGCGCACGCCGGGCCTCAGTCTGCTCATCCGCGTGCCGGGGCGCGCGCAAAGGCAGAGGCGTGCCCGCTGAGCTACGCGTGCAAATGCGTCTGGCCAAGCTTTTCCCCAGCTACACCCCCAGAGTGCCCGCAGGCGTCGATGCTGGCCCCCCCGGCCGCTATGACCAAACGCGGGCTGGGCCAGACGGCGTGCGGTTTTAGCCCGCGTGCACGTCTGCAAATGCACCGAGCGCGTTCCACTACTCGCAAAGTGCCTACTCGCAAACGTCAGAAAGAACACATGTCTGCTTGAATGTAATTTGCCGCGGAGCCCCCGCGGGGGACCCAGGCCATCTGCGAGTAGTTACTATGCGAGTAGTGGAATGCGCTCGTCGAAGATTGCAAGCCTTTTTCCCTTATCTCTACCTCAATCCACCGACTCAGCCACATCACCGCCTCCGTGAATAGGAACAGTTAAGGCGTGTGTCAGCCGTTGCGGGCAGTGCAACCTCGCTGCGCGCCGCCTCCCAGCTGTGCGTTCGCCGCTTGGCGCGATCTACCCTCAGCGTGCAGCCTGCTGCGAGTCTGGCGCGTGACTTTTCCAGCGCATTGTCGCCTGTTGGACCGCCGTTGGGCGGGGGGGTGCCGCCGCCGAGGTCTCGCCAGCCGACTCAACGGCTTGGCGCCCCTCGTCGAGGGCGCGCCTTGTCGGCCCGCGCCGCTTGCGGTTCGCGCCTGCATCGGCGCCTGGCGACCCGGGGTCGAGCTCCGCAGAGCTCTCCGCCTCCTTTCCGACGGGCCGCCAAGTCCTCTGATTTTCGCCGATGTGTTTCAGGGCGCGCGCGTTCAGTCGTACTGCGTGGAGTCATCTGTCACGTCCATCTTCTGTTTAGGCTGATATGGTGTATGTTTGCTGACCATCCCGACCGCGTCGTCGTCGGTCTACGTGTCTATCTCCGTCGTGTCTTACATGGTGTTCTCAGTTCCTGCTTCCTCTTTGTCGTCTTCGCCCTCGTGCAGTGCGCCGTGTTCTACTCGGCCTTCTTCTCCGCCCTCGCTATCCGCGGTTCTGCGAGCGCGACCTCTCTGCCGCGCCGGCAGACGGGCGCGCAGAGGGGGGCCGTGCGCCGGGCCGCGGCGCCCTGCGGCAGGGCCGGTGCGCGCGTTTGCGCGCGGCTCTGCGTGGCCAAGATGCGCGTGCGCACTGGCGCGTCTGCGCCCGTGGCTTCGCGCCGCGTTCGGCATGCCCTTCCGAGGGTCCACTGCCCGCTCGGTCTCTGGCCCCGCCGTGCCGCTGACCGCGG